ATTTTCACCTTCATGCAATTAGTTGGCAAAGCTTGTTCTTGAGCCGCCATCACCATCATCATCATCATCATCATCATCATCATCATCATCATCATCATCATCATCATCATTTAATGTAGCCACCCACTCCAGTAGCGAGTGATGTTCTACTGTCTCTGATTTAAAACAAGGCATAGTATAAAATAGAGGAAAGCCTCAAAATTGATCAGCTTATTTTACTATAGGTAAATAATGTTTTCACAGTGATGAATCTTTCAAGTCAAACTTGCCTCAAAGTGCTGCATTTATGGGGCATCCAATTCATAGTGTATATCTCTAGTTCCCTCACAATAGTGGATTCACGTATTATATCAGTTCAAATGTGATTTGTTATATGATATAGTCATTGTTTTTATAAAACATGATTATGTTTTAACATGTGTGAATCCAGCCAACAGTGGTTTATTCAATAAATTATTATTAAGCGTGACTTAGTGTGATGTGTGAATACAGTCAATGTAAGTGAACAAGGCCAGTTATAGGATTACTTTACTCAGTCATGATAGGATTGGCACAGTTACTATTGACATAGATCATGGATTTCAGATATCTCACTCCTCTTTCGATGGTCAATGGCAGCCAATTCATTTTGCCACGTAAATAATACAAGAAAAGGATCCGCATGGTATAATTTTGCCAGTTTTCACATAGGAGCAGGTGGCAGCCATGGCTAGGAGAGCCTCTGCATAGCGGGTTGTGCTCCAGGTGCACCAGTTGCACTTGTTTCTGAATCGGGAGGTCTTACTTACACATTCATGCCCTAGTGACCTCTAGTTAGGATTACTGCAATGTGCTTTACATGGGGCTGTCCTTGAAGAGCATTTGGAAGTTACAGCTGGTACAGAATGTGGTGGCATGGGCAGTTAGTTGTTTTTGGTTGAGTGCAGCAAGTTACTCCACCCATTGTGGATTAGTATTATGTGTAAACCTGCTAGAGTTTATTCAACCATAGTTTAAACATCCTGGCTTAGTGTGACATGTGAAGCCAGCCATTGTACAGACATGAGTCAGCCTTCAAAGATTTCAGAAATGATCTGTTGGGTACAACAAGCACTAAGTACTGTTGAATTTTTGTTTTAATGTTTCTTACATTCACTTTTTCCTACTTTTTTTTTTTTGCCTCCATCAGCTTGATCATTGTAGAACACCCATTCCCTAGGAAATTAAAGTAGAGCCATTATGAGATACTTCTTTGGCATATATGGAAACCATTTATTATGCTAGGTCTTTTGACCAGCACTGAGTCTGTATTTCAGAATTGGCTGTTTGGAGAAAATTTACTCCGTTTTTTAAAATGAGTGATGTATATTCTTATGGGATTTCATCAAGATGTTGCACATCATGATTGCCTTTGGTTCATTTTATGCTGAAGGGCAAAATACAACAAATAAAATGCTACTGGCTGATTTAGGCCCCTCCCACATGTTTGGACAGTTACAATCTGAGGAAAGTATTGCCCTACGTCCCACAACATTGTGGGTTTCTGTGCAATTTGGAAAACCAAGCTGATTAACTGTTGACAGAGCTCTTTCTCTGGAGAAAATACTGCAGAAATATTTTTGCAATGTTTCTTCTAGAGCTGCAGGATTAGGGTTCCAATGATGGGAACCCCTGCCTCATCCTTCTTCCTGGATTCTGAGACTTGGCAGCTGACATGACATGAACGTTAATGTCCCCTGCCCTTGAAAAGAAACCATGGCAAATAAAGAAAAAGATTAGGGAAAGGCACCAGCTACTTGCTGTTTTTAATTCCTTTGGCCCATTGGAGGGAGCACTCAAGAAGGGGAAGATAACAACAGTCACTGTATGCTGTACAGCATGCAGAAATGCTTACAGTTTTGGGAGTGGATCCAGCCTTACACTGGTATCATGTTTGATTGATTATGTGCCATCAAGCTGGATTCAACAGAGAACACTTAATTTTCTCCAGGATAATCTGTCCTCAACCTGGTCCTTCAGGTCTTCCAACAGTAGACCCAGGGCCACTATGAATCCATCCACTTTGCTGTGGGACATCCTCTTTTTCTTTTTATTTCTGTTTTTACCAGAATTATAGACTTCTTAGGTCTTTGCATAATGCTTCCAAAATATGATAATTTAAGCCCAGTCATTTGTGCCTTGAGTGAGAACTCTGGATTGATTTGTTCTATGAACCATTTGTTTGTTTTTTTGGCTATCCATGGTATTCAAAAGCATCCATACTGTTACTATAATGAACTTGAATTACTCTGATGACACAGCTGAGCTGCTTGAAGTTGCTCCCAGATGTCAGTTTTTCTTGTCTGTCTGTGGCTCAGCTGTTCTGATGTCAGAGTGTTTCATGCAAGTCTTGAGCTAAATACTATACTACAGGATTGATAATTTTGATATGAGAATATGTTTATGCTATGTTATGAAGTGTATAATTAGGTGCAGACACCTGCTGTTTTTATTTCCTTTTTCATGGCATTGAAGTGCAAATGAAAAAACACATTCTGACACAATTGAAATCATTTATTTCTTCCCCAAATGGGATAGCATGTTTTGTCTGGCATTGTCCATTATTCCTTCTAATGTGAGTTCAGAAAGACATTCAACACCTCATGTGTGAGATCATTTTCATAGTAAAGTGATACTTGAGGTATTGTGTGTAACATGACTTCTGCACTGTAAACACTTTTGTCACTAACACTTGGCTTAAGCATAGACCTAGAATAATGAAGTTTTAAAAATATGTGTATGCAAACTTGCTCATTTTTGTGACTAGGAATATAACAGATTTTAAGAAGCATGGTAATTGGGCTTGAGCCCATAAATACTTAGCTGTACAATTTAAAATGTAAATTCAGTTCCCATTGATTAGTGATTTTTAAAAAATATATTTTTTGCTTTATTTACATTCCAGCAATAGAAATATTCAGGGACATAACAGATATCACTTACCAACTTGCTATATGACTTACTTCAATGTATCCTTGTAGTTACTGTAATCAGCTGCTGGTCTGACAATGGTATTCTTATTTGTATTCCCATTCTTTTCATCTTTTTCTTCTCGTATACAACCAAATATACTTAGTTGTGTATTTTGCATTTTCAGGAGAAAAATTGTTAATTCAGTGTGAAATGAACTATTTAATCAGTTATCTGTACAATTTCAATCTCCAAAAAATGTTTAATGAACAGGAATCTGTTTTTGCTTGCAACATAGCTATATCCTCCTGCATATATAGTAAAGTCTCCTTTGAGTTGGACTTGATTCCTGGTCACATCACAGACCTGTCCATGAGTTTTCTTGGCAAAAATACAGAAATGGGTTGGCACTGCCTTCTTTAAAGATGCTTTTTTTTTTTTTTTACTTCCCAGTCTAGCCTATAGCTCCTTTGTTACCTGTTTGTCTCCCATCAAAACAAGCCTGGCCCTTTAGAACCTAGCAGGTTTGGCCTGGTGCTGCTACTTGTTGAGACACTTCTGACTTAGGCTAATGTACTTCATGCCTTAATGAATTTGACCCATTTGCAATAGAACTATTGCAAAATAGTTCCAATTTGGGACAGTTTCATTTTGTACATTCTCTCCTTGAGTTGAGATCCACATATGATGTAATTTCAGATTTGCTGCTTTGAAAATAAAAGGGTGCAGAATATACTTCACGGAGTCTAACGTTCTCCCTCTTTCTTTTGTTTCCCTCAGGGGATGAGCACTCCCATGATTGCACAACACCAGCAGAAGCTCAGACACAAGCTGGGATGGAAGCTGGCGGAAGAGGGAGCCGATGTTGCCAAACATGCTCTGTGATCCAGCTTAAGAAAATTTTCTGGGGAGTAATGGTGGTACTTGGTGTCTGCTCTTCCTGGTCAGGTTCAACCCAGCTAGCAAAACTGACCTTTAAAAAATTTGATGCACCTTTCACTTTGACATGGTTTGCAACAAACTGGAACTTTTTATTCTTTCCTTTGTATTACATTGGACATGTTTGTAAGTCAGCTGAAAAACAATCTCCCCAACAAAGATACGGGTAAGAGGGAGTCATCATATTTTGATGTGTTGTCTTCTGTTCTCTTAAATGTTTCAGTAAACTATTTGTTTAAAATAAAAAAAGACTATAAATTATTTGCCAAAACTTTAAGAGGGAATGGAAAGAAGATAAGGACATTGTAAAAAAATAGAGGAAAGCAGAATTTACCCATTTCTACTAAAACTAAATGAATATCTCTAAATGGACATCTACACCCTTTCTTGCGTTCTTTTTGTTGCTATTGTTCATGTGTAATTAGGCTAATTAAAATCATAGTAAATAATTTAACTGTCTTTTTCTTTATTGGCAAAATGTAAGTGGTCTTCCCTATAATCGCCATAGCTATCATCAGAAGAGTTACATAAATTTATTTTATTGGATGTCCATTTAGAGATATTCATTTAGTTTTAGTAGAAATATGTAATATAACTCACAATGGTGGGATGCCCTGTTATCATTTTGGTCTTGAAGACCTGTTTCAAGACCTCTGTTTTCCCTTCTTACACATCTTTGTCTTTAAGCTAGACTTGGATTAGACAGCAGTTTAGATAGATTATATACTTTTATAGTACTATCTGTAGAGTGGATATACTCTATAAAATGAAAATGTGGCAACAAGAATATGTTCTTACTGATGCTGCTACAAGTTCGTATCCACAAACAGGGGACTTGTCTAAATAACTTACTGGGTGCTTGAAAAGCTATTCACCCCTTTTGCAGATGATTTATTTTGAAGTAAAGTAAGCAAGGTGGACTGTAGAGCTTGAAGAGAAGGGTGGTGGTGGAGGAATTAACCATTATATGGCACATAATGTATTATATACACAAAATAAGGGGAAAAAAAACCTTCCACAATATGACAAGATTCAACTTTCAAATAAATAGGAACAAGAGTACGGCTGACTGAAATCATAGCTTAAATCCAAGTATTAATTAAATTTCATGGGTTATGTCAGCCCAGTTGATCCTTACATTAGAATGCAAACATGTAACTTGAAAAAAAAAGTATTTCACTTTATTTTCATAAGATACTTCTTACATAATTCATGTAATTTAGGTCACTGTTACAAGTGAAGAGTTAGTAAAGCTAAATAATGGATGTATTTGGGAGGCTTACACATTGTGAGAAAAAAATCCTGTGATATCTTAGAACGCATAATGTATGCATTTTGATACACCTTTAAATCTTCTTTTAAAAATGGCAATTAAATTGCACAGAACTTCAATAGTAGAAAATAGAATCAGAAATAGGCATTATTGCCTAGAACCTCAGTGATCTGCTCTTCGTTTTCCCAGACACATGAAATATGACTACAATAAAGCGCTCACAGCTACTTGGGTTGATCAGAAAGATGCAGTAGATGAGTAGTTTGTTTCTGGGCTCTATGTAAACACAGGTACACTTGTGTTCGTGAGCAATCTTCCCCTCAAACCTGCTTGTAATATTTCATTCTCATCACATGTATTGAGATATATTGCTCTGAAAAACAATGATTCATTGGAAGAACAGTGGAACTGACCCTTGTACTACTTGTGTTGGAGTCCAGTTAATGTGGATGGGTTGTAGAGAATAGGAGCTTGAAGCTAAAGACTAGTGACTCTGCTGCTTCTGTTCTTGCTTCATTCCAAGCCGTTTAGCTTTATGGGTTAAGGTAGGAGTTCTCAAACTTGGCTATCCAGAAGTCATCAACAACTTAGATGGAGGTTAAAGATTTCTTTTCGACCTGATCAGGCTTATGCAGGCACAGTAGGAGTGCTGTCAAAATATTGACATCTTGAAGGTTTTGAAACCATAATCTCTGTTTTTTGTGCTTATCCAATTGCTTTTTGTCTAGTGATTCAAGCCACCAAGGAAGAGACAGCCCCCAAAGAAAGGAAGTAAAATATTAAAAAGATATGTGAATTTGAATTAATGTGTCTGAAAGGATGGGTTTTGCATGGCATCGAGGAAGAATACTGTGCAGCCCTTTCCTTCCCCATTTCTTTCAAATGGACCCTGCAGACTGTAGTCAAAAAGTCAAGATGGCAGCCACCATGCAACTGAAGTTTTGTTTGTTTTTTATATGTGTCGCATGTGCAACACACACTAAGAATGAGTGGAGCTTCACTCACACCATTGTGTCTGCAATCCTGACTTTTACCAAGCCAGAAATTCTGGGCAAGAATTTTCAGTCCAGCCCCAAGAAAAGTGGGGGAGGAGTCTCCCAGCCCACCCCCCATGGATTAGAACTGGTTGGATTGAAGAGATGCTGAGGTTATTTATTTATTTATTTATTTATTTATTTATTTATTTTTGATCTTACAGTCAAAAGAGTCCCAGCAGCAGATAATTCAACATCCACAATAAAAAGATAAAACATTGACAGTAAACGAAATAGGTCACTAGGAAAGATAAAATCAATATCCATTCTAAAATAAATGGAACAACACACAAGAATTTAATAGCATCATCCCATTAAACTGAAGAAGCTTTCCAGAAGAGCTCTATTTTAATCAACTTCCAGAAGGAATCTGACATCCACTGGAAGGTTTCTCAAAGCACAGGGCCATGACAAATGCCACCTCCTCGCTTCAGCCCCTGGGACCTCTTCCTCCAGTTTTTCCCAGGACAGGCATACTGGACAGATTCACTTGAGCTGGAGAAGGCAGATCTGCAGGGATCTTGGTGCCAAGCTAGGTAGAGCTTTATAGGTTAAAACCAGCACTTTAAATTGCACCTGAAAACTCTTGGCAACCAATACAAGGCTCGTAGTGTAGATGGAATATGTAATATGCTAGTACCAATTAATAAGCAGGCAGCTGCATTTTGCACCAACTGTAGTTCCTTTAAAAGCAGCTCCACGTAGAGCTTTTTGCAGTAGTCCAACTAGGTGGTAATGAGAGTGTGAGTCACTGTATGAGGAGCTGACTGTTTTTCCTTTGAGCTAAAAGCTAAATAGAGTTGGAAGTTGAGCAATTAAAATGGTTGAAGGAAAACAGCAGCTGGCTAAGTCTGCCTGAAACTGCAGCAGTTGACATCATGGAGATAAGGCAATATAAAGGATAGCCCAGTACTGGCAAGGTTTTGAAGAGGCTCATTGATGGACCTGGCAGGAACAGAAGTAGACCAGCAGGAAAGGCTCTGTGGTGGTAAGTGGTGTAGCAGCTGAAGGCCAGCAAAGAGGCCCTGTAGCAGACTGGTGTGGAGGTCACATGGGCTACCAAAGAAGCCCCTATGGGAGAGGCCCATGAAAGAGGCCACAACAATGGTGACCCTTTGAAGAGGTCAGTGGTGAAGGATGGCTGCCAGCTAACTTAAGAGGCAGGGGGCTTCCTGGGAGAAGGCAATTTGAGGTGATAGGTTCCCCATCATGTTAGGTCCTATAAGCCTATTATGCCTTCATCAAGCCTTCAGCTGGCCCAAAGCCTAATTATGTAGATCATAGAGGAAATAAGGAGCTTGTCACCCTATCTGTCTGTAACAGTGTGCTTTGTGGAAAAAAAATGATCAATACCAGCAACTCTTTTAACACCAAGAATGTTCCAGTTTTTATTGTAATAACAATAAAAATGTTCTTCTCAGGAATGCCAGTTGGGGAGTCAGAAATATACAGTTTGATGGTACACTTGATTTGCATCAGAATATTCATATTTGATTTCAAACAATATGTCCAATGCATGATTGTATATAGAGCTTAAACTTCAATTTCATAATTATATTCTGAGTTGTCCCTCTATGAAGCTGCTCAGAGCCAGCTTTGACTGGAGCAGTTTATAATCCTTGTAAAATAACAGTACTAGTAATAATAATCCAGTGGAATGTAATTTTTGTTCTACTACCTTTAAAAAAAAAACACATATAGGAAAATAAAGGGATTTCATTTCCATTGTATCAAGAACAAGCAATATACATATTCTGATTCTTAGCATTTGATTGTTTTCCCTTTTCTTTAAACATGTTTGGTTTTGAACAAAAAGATGTTATCAATCCGCTTCCTAGAAACCTGAAATTCATCAAATTAACCACAGGATTAGCTATGAAAAGTATTTGCTAGAACATTTGTCTAGCATTCAAAAATTGTTTTTTTTCAAATGAGAAGGAAAGATCAAAATAGTAAAATTAAATAAAAACATGACATTTAAGTTATTGTACTGTATGAAATTCTTGTTATGATTCTGGAGAAAGACCTAAGAATAAAGTTCTTGTCTCTAGAAATCCAGTTTACTTGTCTTGGAATAGCACCTCCCCCCTCCATTTCATGATAACTATCAAATTTCAGCTACCTTTAATGCCTAATGATCAGAATTTATCAGTGATTATTAGTGTCTACCAGAACATCAGGAATCCCTAAGTCATATCTAACTTAATCTATAAAGCCATTCATCATTCTCTTTAGAATGCCCAGTTAGATCAAATCCATAAATGTATATATAATACAACTCAAGTTTTCCCAGAACATACAGCACCAGGAAATTTATGGCTTTTCAAATGTTACTGATCTTCAACTTCCAGCTGCCTTACCCAACATGGCCAATGATTAAGGATGTTAGCACTCAGCATGTTTTGTTCACATCTGGAAAGGCACTTCCTTGCTTGCAAATCCTAGGCCTACAAGAATACAGCTGGCTTTCAGTATTTTATCTGCTTTGGTATACACTGAAATATTTTTAGAAATTTTACTACTGCCATTTATTATTTATTTTGCAATTGCAATAGACAAAACAAACATCACTGATGATTGGCCGTTGGGGTGATAAGAATTGGAGTTCAGCAACACTGGAAGGGGGATGACTTCTTATAAATAAACAGTAGGACAATCATTTAGACTTTCCCCTCTCCACATGTGAAAATTTGGATCAAATCACATTTTTTTTAAAAAATACGGCAGACGCCTATTAAAAGTTGCAATGGGCCTGTGCTGAAGGGTAAAATACCTTTCTCAGAAGAGTACCATGGGTTCATTAGGAATTCTAGGTCTTTATTATATATAACCACGTTTCCTAAAACCTGTCAGTATCTGGATCCCTTGAGGGTGAACTTTCTCCCACCTTTATTACAAATGTATTCTACAGTTTGCTGCTTAGATGGCTTTAAAAGAAGATTGGACAAATAAGGGCTGAATAAGTGTATTTGTTGGTTAAAATAATGCCTCAGTTTGAGCAGCATATTAAGGTGTGTTTCCTATTGGTAGGCATGATCATCTGACAGGCCCTTACGTTTGTTTTATTCATTTGCATTCATTTAAGCTGATATTTTTAAAAAGCCTGCATAATATGCAGTTATTGAACTGACTGGATGTTTTGTTTAATTTTTTGGTATTAGGCTGCTGACTCGTTCTAAGATGGGATTGTGGTCCTGTTTTTCCCAGACTGATTCAATAATTAATATCATAAAATGGAAAAGGAGAGCAACAAATACCAACCAATTGGCCTTTTTATTTGAAGGCACTCTTATATTGTACAATCCATTGAAAAGGACATTTGCATTCTCACTTTCCATAAGGAAAATGTATTGCTGTAGTGAATGTGGCAAAGTTCCCTTTCAAGGGTTCATACACTGAAAGATTTAGAGAGAAGTAGCTGACCTGTCCATCCCAGGTAATGGACAGAGAAATGCCCAGATGCTGAAGAGCCAAGCAGGAGAGGTGATTTCTTCAGACAGGTGGGCCTTTACAAGAGGAGAGGGCACTCTCCATTTTGTCTGCATCTTTTGGCCTTTGCTTCCCTTTCTATGAGGCTGGCTGCAAATCAAGCCACAGCAAAGCTCAACCAACCATAGCCCAGCCTGAATCTAGTGAATCTGGATAGCAAGCTGAGATCAGTGAAGCTAGTTGCAGTATAGATTCTGTTATTGCTTTATCTTATGGACTTAGATTGGGGCCGTATGTGCGCTTGTATGAGATCCTGGGTTGGAGAAAGCAACTGACTGAAATAACTTCTCCAGAAAGCAGTTGTTCATTCTTTCTCCTTTTTATTTTCTTCTCTTCAACTTTCTTGTAGGACTCTGACCTTGCTATACAGGTAGTCCTTGTTTAGCAACCACAATTGGGACCAACAACTCGGTTGTTAAGTGAAGTGGTCACTAAGTGAAACCGCGACTGTACTTATGATCTTACTTCAGCTTACCTTTGCTTTACACAGCTGCGGAGGTTGTAAAGTTACTTTTTCATCACCATTGTAACTGCGAATGGTTGCTAAATGATGCAGTCACTAAATGAGGACTACCTGTATATAACTGAAATATAAAATCCTTAGTCATTCTGGGAAAGGGATCTAGCCCTTAGCACATGCTTCTTCCACCAGGCCTGGCAACTGAAGGAAACAGGATTGTTCCTTACACCTCCCTGATAAGCGACAGTGAAGAGAGGAATTCTCTGGAGTAAGATGGCTGGTTTCTGCATGCATAGATAGCTCTTCCCAGGAGCTGCAAGGAGAGTGCAACAGGGTTGTGGTTGGAGGGTTTTGAGAGGCCTCATGGTCATGGGAATCAGCCAGAGTCCATGCCACCACATCTTGTACATCCATATGTCCCCTCTTACAACTAGGATCAGTTTCTTCCTTTCCCTGTCTTTATTAGGACAGACTCTTGTTCACTACAGAAAAAATGAAAAGGTTTGGGTTGACTTGTTCTGATCTTGATTTCTAAATGGGTACAGATATAAACATGCTTTATACTTGCCTTGCCTCTCTCTTCCACTTTAGGACAAGTCAATAGTTCTTTCCCCTCTTTTGTGGGAACGGATGGGGGAACCTTATTACTAACATTGAATCTGCTAATATAAGGCTTGTTTATTTCTACAAAGTATTATTGAATCTCACTCCAATTATTTCTTAATGAAGTTTGTTCTGTCAAATTTTATGTATGTATGTGTATGTGAATTGCTATTTATTTTTTATTGAATGGGATAAGATGATCTTCCCTAAAGTCTACCAATTTTATGAATTGCTTTTGGTGTTTTTACATAAAACAGATGAAGCACTCAGATGAAATGCTTTTTGAAAAATCTTCAGTTATTGTTGTAGATTTAAAAAAAAAACAATTTCATAATTGTCTAAAATTTTCTCTAGACTCAGAGATGCTGGCCTTTACTTCTGAGTTAATACACTCCATCTATAGGTTTAATAAAAACAATAAGATTTGAAAAACTTGGCATTGTTCATACTGATTAGGATTTCTTTGGACTCTGAACTTTTTGTTAGTTCAGGCAATTGAAGAAAGAGGATTAAGTGGAGCAGAGTGTGTGTGTGCGTATGCATGTGCACATGTGTATGTGTGTGAAGGATGGTGATTTGGAAGGACACGGTCACTTGCATTCTTTTTTCTTTTGGAGTAATCAGAAGTTTAGCTGTTCAGAATTTGTTCTGGTACCAGAAAAGCTTACAGTTAAAAATGTAAGTTTCTTTTAAGATTGACTGATTGATTAGATTTATAACCTGCTTTTCATTCAAGGGCTCAAGGAAGTAGGTATGTAGTGTTCCCTCTTCCTATTTTACTCTGCAAAGACACCCCTATTTAGTAGGTTGAGCTGAGAGAGAGTAACTGTTCCAAAGTTAGTCAGTCAGTTTCCATGACTGAGGGTGCACTAGAAGTTTCACTCAGTCTTTGATCTGATCCAATGCTGGTTAACAACGCATCTGAAACAGAATGGGTTAATCTTGAAGATGCCACAGGATTCCTGATGTTAGTTCTTCCTCAGGATCTAATATTCTTTTCTTCTTTTAGGGAGTGTTGTCGATTTTTTGGAGACAACGGCTTGACGCTGAAGGCATTTTTTACCAAGGCAGCACCTTTTGGAGTTCTTTGGACACTCACAAACTACCTATACTTACATGCAATAAAAAAAATAAACACTACGGATGTCTCCGTATTGTTCTGCTGCAACAAAGCTTTTGTGTTCTTGCTTTCATGGATTGTTCTCAGGGACCGATTCATGGGAGTGAGGGTAAGTGGTTAATGATCTCTCTTTTTTCTACCATCACCACAATTGGTACCAGTACCCATCTTTTGCTTAAACATTTTTAGCACTTTCCCTATGGGAAAATGAGAGTATAATTATTTAATTTTATGCATTCAAAACTGATTTTATGTTATGCTTTAAAGTTGTTCTTAAAATTATTGCTATATTATTATCATTGTATCTTAGCCTTGGCATTCTTATGTCTTCTTACTTCAGAAGTTAGTTAATTTTTCATAACCTGAAACATGCATCTCTGTTCTTAAATATTGTTGACCTCTCAGTTTTCATTGAGTGACACCTCTTAGAGCCAAAATTTAAGCTTTCCATTTTGTTGGCTTTGTTGTTGATGGGCTTATTTTAATTCCATATTTCTTCATTTCTCCTATTAAACAGATTTTTCTTCTACTATGTGTAAAGCTTAACTCTTATTTGCAGTCAGCCTTCACCAACCAAGATGGTGTTGTTTTATATATATATATACATATATATATATATGTGTATATATATATATATACACACACACACACACACACACACATACATACACATACATACATATGCACGCACGCACACACATACATACATACATAGAGAGAGAGGACAAGAGAGAGAGAGCGGTTGGATAGCGTAGTGGTTAGAGCACTGTCCTTGACCCAGGAGACCAGGGTTCAAATCCTGGCTGGTACCTACCCTACCAGTAGGGGTCCTTGGGCAAAGACCCCTTAATGCTTCACCTGCCTACCTCGAATATGAGAGTGACATGAACTGAGAGAGTCATGCCAGCTCAGACGTCGCCCAGATTAACAAGGTTCACATCAGATGTTGGGGAACCAGGACAATCTGATGATAAGTGGGGTATTGGAACAAACCATACATGGACAAGACAAGAGAACCTGGAATTAATGGAATGCTACAACAGTAGACCTAATGAGAGGGAATATATGAAACATATGAGGGAACTATGGATGGACAGAAGACCTACATCCACACTAACTGAGAAACAGCTAGTTATCCAATGCTTCAACATAGTGAAGAGGAAGCTGCTCTCACGACTTGAAATAGACCAACTCCACATTACAACTTGAACTCAAGAAGACCTGGAAGAACAACTGGATGTGCAGCCAACACCTGAAGCTGGAACATTACTGCTACCCCCTCCGTTACAGAGTGCAGCAACTGATATGAGGCATAAGATCATGTATAAACTAGCTATGGTCAACCCTTGAGACCAATTACCAAGGCTCAATGGAGAAATGCCCTCAGATACTATGTTAGAAGATTCCAGTACAGCCCTCACAACAATCCCTACTACCACCATAACTCAAACCAATGAACTGATATACGCTACAGCTGCTGTAATCCTGGAGATGCTTGGCTTACATGATCAAGAAAAACAGCAGTACATACTCTCTCTGGAAAATGAGGTTGGAGGCTAAGATCAAGGCAACTCAGAGAGAAGTTAGTCAGCTG